CCTCTCAGGTCACACTAGTGGTCTCTTGGAAAGTGGGGACAAAAAGGCATTGCGGTACATTTGGCTCTTAGCATACCTGCTGACTTGTCTGCATTTCCATCATCTTCCAGGTAGTATTGGTATCTGCTCCTGGTAACAGTGTCTTGTCACTACTGGACTATAGAGCCCTCACTGCTCATAGTTTACGTTAGAGAGGCTCCTCCTTGCTTATTTGACCCCATTTCTCTATTCTGGCTTTACAGCCACGTGTAACTTCACTTTGCTCCCCTTTATGTCTCACAGCTCACATAAACACTGGACTACTAATATTAAAAAAAGAAAAAATCCAGAGATTTTAGCTGACTTTCAGTTTCAGGTGTCTAAATGTCAGGCTACAAGAGGCTCTCTTGTGCTTTCCGACTGTATCAGAGCTTGAACTACCAAGTTATTAGGTAACAGCTCATTGGCACAGAGCTCCTTCCAACGCATTCAGCTGGCTCAGCTCTTTCTGGTCTGAGAACACTTTCCATTTTTCTGACTGGCGATGCATCCCATCAGCAAGGACCCACATTATTTTTTAATCTTCAACTGGTAAAGGGCTGCTGAACAAGTACAATTGTCATCTCCAAGCGTGACATCTAGCACTGCTGGCATTTATTTTGCCCATCTTAGGTGTCAGTGGAATACTTGTTGCTGTTTGCTAACAGGCTTTGAAGACTTCCAGCTGTGGACAAGGATGATGGAAATTGTGGGGCAAGGGATTTATTACAAAACCTCAGCATTTGGCGTTATCTTACTAAAGTATGTGGCCCTCTTTCTGTTATTTAGCTGTCACTGCTAATATTGATCCAAATTGGAGCCGAGTGCTGCCGAGCCCCTGCAACTTGCAAAAGCCAGGGAGTTGTTCCTTAGTACCTTACCAGTGTCCCCAGTGCTCTTCTTCAGTGCTCACAGCAAACACAGCAGTCATTTCTTGGTTCTGACACTCACTGCAGTGACTGATTAGTAGCCTGTAAGCAACTAAATTTTAGTTCCCTGTAAAAGGTTGTTTTCCTTTAACTGGTCTGGCAGTCCAAGAATAGCTCTGTGCACTCTAATACATAGAGTATTGTAAATAATGACAGATAATGCTATCAAAGTCTTTTCCTAGAATATAGGGATTAACTCACCTCATTAAAATGTACACATTCTGCATAGCATAATGCAGTACTACTTCAGGACAACTATTTAAACCAGCCAAAAGATACTATGTTCTGTGACAGCTAGGATGATCCCTAGCTGTCCTCTTCCCTGTATTCAGATTTTTATAATCTTTTTAGATTAGTACATAGATATCATAGCACTGAGCACTTTTAAAAACCTAAAATAGGCTACATTAGCTTAAATTTCTAGGTAGTAAAGAAACTTGAGAGGAGAGAAACATAATTAACTTGGAGCATGGAAGGATTCCCTTGCGGGAAAAACACCCTGAACTAAAAATGGTAGTTTGTACAAAGTACCTAACAGTGAACATACAGAACCTGGCAGGTTATGCACTCTGAAGACTGATGTCTTAGGTTGAAAGCAGTAAGGTTTTTCTTTTATTTTCCCTTGAACATTTGTTCTTAAGACATTTAAAACTTATCTGATTTCTTTGGATATTAAAATGTAATCATCACAATTTTCAGTGCTTGGTTTTTTTCTTTCAAGAAAATGAAAATAAAAGCTGTGTTGCTGGAATTGCCTACAGGTATTTCTCTACATTCAAAGAATGCTTCTGAAAGCTATGCTAGCACATGGAGCCCAGTTCTGCTCACATTAAAATAAAAGGTGAAAGTATCCTGGGCGTCAGCAGATGGAGAAGGTAGGAGATGGAGAAAGCAGAAGCCCATACAAGATCAGGCCCTCCAAAAACCAAACCACTTTTCCCAAATGATTCAGTTTTTTCCTCATAACTTACTTTTTCTTTTCAACTTGCTAAAGTAACTCTTAGTGGTTTCTGGGCTGCTTAATTTCTTTCTGCTTCTGCAACAGCCTCTGTGACAAATGGCAATTGCATACATATCTGCTTCAGAATCAAGCTCTTGGACTGGTATTTATCAGCTGTGTAAATGCCTGATCCTGCAGATGTGTAGGTGGCTACAGAAAGGTGAATTTTACAGAACTGACTGTTGATCTACTACAGATGAAAATTTTAAAGTCCAGACTCCCATACTAGTTATTACTGTCTTACCGTAATTCAATTTAACAGCCTTACCTAATTATTCTGGCATAATATGTCAATCAGTTGCAAACCCCCTGCAACACTGTTTGTTTTTTTTTTTTTAAATTATGGTTACATTGCCAACTTAAACAAAACAAAAGATATTTCTTTCAGCTGTGTTACAGACCATTGGCCTGATTAATTCTAAGTCCTAGGAAATACTGCTATTGGAAGAAACAACTTTGCAAACCCAAACTTCTTTCTTGTGCAATTCTCAGTCTCTTGCTGATTGGTCAGGATCTTTGGCTGGTTTACATCCTTCTGAACAAATCCTTAAAAGAGGCAAATTGTTTGTTTGTTTGTTTTTGAAAAATTCCAGAGTAGCTCTGTAAATACGAATTTCGGAAGACTACTACAGATTAGATGTGTTACAGTTTATATCAAGAAATCTTCTGCTTTATCAGTATGTCAGAAATCTTACGAGATACTTTGTATTGTCTTGTACCATAAAATGACAAATCTAGGATATCCTTCACTGAGCCTGCTTAATAATGAAAAAGCTGCCATACAAGATAAAGAAGTGAATACAGATAACACAATGAAGCTTGAAAATGGGGACAGAAAAAACTCTCCAGGCCAAATAGAAATCTACTGGGATTCTGTAAATGAACCAAAGAGGAGTTCATTCCCATTTTTTTAAGAATTAGTAAATCAGTCTCAATTAGAAATTCTTCTCAATTCCAAATAAGAATTGTCATTATTTATTAACACAATTTCTAACCAAGGATGTCACTACGCATTAAAATGGTAACAAACCGAACCTCACAACTGTAATTTTCAAAATTCCAGTCTCACATCTTGTTCCCAGTTAAAGTGGTATATCATTACTGGATAAGCCAGAAGGAGTAAATACAGGGTAAACACACTGAAAATCATGTCCTGCCATCTGCTGAGACCACTCTGTCCCATGTCTTTTTCAGTCATATAATAATTTATTGTATTATGAAACTATTCAATAAAACATTCTATTACCTAACAATGATCTTATTTTAGTGCAGCTCTAACTGAAACCAATGGAAGTTTTGCCTGCAAAATGTTACGGCATGGTTGGATGCTAATTTTCTACCTTCAGGTAAAGTTCTAGTCCCTTTTTTCATAAAGAGCTCTTAAAACCAGAGAAATCAGTCTTTATCAGTTTTTTAGGTAACACACATTAATTTAATGAAATTTGCTTAGTTTCCTATTTGGAATGAATACAGAAAATACAGTAGAGGGTCAGGGACAATTCATCCTTTCCAAAGCATTTTTAATTAAGTGCGCTTTCTAACCTGTCCAAAAAAAGGTCACAACCTGAAATCTATCTTTTTCTAATGATATATATAAACATAATAAGGACACTGAGGGCACTAAATTATGCTTAGAACAAATAATGGAAGTATACCAAAGGTCTGAGAAAGCACTTCAGCCAGTGGAGTGTGAATGCACATTAACTTTCTGCTATAAACTTTACAGACCAGTTAGACGATTAATTCTATCACAGTCACCTACAGCTTTAACACTGGTTTTGAAAGAGATTTTTTCCAATACTTGTTAATATTATTTTTGTGGTGACATTTATTGAAGCATAAATATAAACAAACTTCATAAACATGAATTAATAATGCTGGCATTTAAAAAGTTTTAAGAAGTATTCAAAAGCGGTTAAATGATTTGCCCAAAAGAAGAGGAGTTATTGAGAGAACAAAGCACAGGACAACATCACAGTGTATCAGTGTTAATAATTTGTAACTTTTCCAAAAATGAACCGATGTTCCTTCTTTCTACCATCTTCCTCACTATTCAGAATTATAGTTTCAGCTAGAAGGGATTAACTAAAGAAATACACGTATTCATGTACTACAGAATGAATCAGTTCACTGCTTCTGTCATTTACAGTTTACAATGCTGAACCTCCACATGGGTAGTAGTGAGCATCCCAAGAGTAACAGCAAGCACTCTACCCCACTCTGTCTTCTTTCCGTGTATTTGCTGTCTCTAAGTGATCCTTCTTCACAACCCATTTTAGGTAACATAATATTAATTATAGCTGTTCTCCAGAGGAAAAACAGTGGTAAAAAAGCAAGCTAAGGTTACTGTTTCCTTATGAGATATGCTATGAAGAACAGTCAAATTCCACTGAAGTATTTCATTACTAGCTAGTATAATACTGAATCACAGCACAACTAACGAGTATAATTGCATTCAGAAAGTTTCATTTTAAGAACGTGTCAAACATATAATTTGATTAGGGCGTGTGAGTATCTGTGCATGGGTTGTTCATGGTACATTTTTATGTATGTGAATCATAAGGCATTATGAGCCACCTACCTCCAGGTAGTAGGGAAACTGCAATATTCCTTCCTATTAGAAAGAAACCTGGACCATCTTTTTAAAAGTTGACAGCATCTATTTTATCCCCTAAGCCTTCTAGTTAGACCAATAACATTCATGATGTTACTGAGAAATGATAGTTAGGAATTTTCTAATCTAAAAGAGAATTTGAATTTTCTGGTAATAATAAATATTCTAAAATTTTAAAAATTAAGCATTAGTATGGCATTTACAATTCTGAATAGCTCTATTTTTTGGAAGATGTTGCTGATTTTAATGGGGGAATAGATTGTCAGTTTATTAAAGTTTGGAACAGGTTTATTAGTTAAATAGATTGTATGTTAGGAAAAGAGCATTAAGTTTGCCTGTAAGAGGTAAGTATTTCTGTTCAGGATTGCATTTTTGCTTAGAAGACATGCAAGATTAAAAATCATCTTTCAAGTAGCTACTGACCAGGCTTCCCGCATACCTTAGCCTGTACGTTATAAATCTCCTCTGTTAGCTTGTTAATAACCTCAGCTGCAAAGTCCATCATCCTTCTGGAGAAGCAGCAACGCAGTCTTCAAGTCAGCTCAGCTTACTGTCGCACCTGACTGGAACAATAAGATGTTATGTCAACAAGACATGCAATGATTACAAAGCCAGTAACTGTTGATAAATTTCCTTTAGAACAGCCACTGGTTACAGTTCCTATATAGCTTTTTCCATTTCCCACATCTATAATGGAAATGACATTATGAATAACATCTTTAATTTTCATGGATCAACTAAAGATACTTGTACCATTAAAATTGTGTTTAGAATGCTGCAGCATCCTTGGGGCTGAGGCCATATTTCCCTATTGTCTTACAATATCTTGAGCAACAGATTTCTGCTGTAAAAGCAGAACTAAAGAGCTTCTGTTGACTCTCAATAACAAACTAATACGTATGGCTGAAAATGAGTTAGAGGAAAGAAACTCTTAACTTAGAAGCAAATTCCAGATTTCTGTGTGTTATATATAAACAATAAAATTATAAAAGCATGAAAAATAACATGAGAACATCTTTTAATATTAGGTTGAGTGCAATGAAACTACCCTTTGCTGTATGATGATTATATAAAATGCAAACAATGTCATTTAGCATTGCTCTCACTCATTATTTCAAGTGAGAAGGAATATAGTGAAAGGAATTTAGAAGGGGGGTGGATAGTGTCAGCAGTAATAACATAAATGATTACACATTACTATAATTAGCAATGGAATTTAAAGAATTAAAAAAGCAACATATTTGCTTTGTTTTTAACTATGCTTTTGACTCAGCAGCAATTCCATTGATGTACTTGGCAGAAAAGTTTCTCTCAGTCTTTTTTAAAATACAAACCCATTAGAAGGAGAAATGCTGTGACCAAAGGTAAACACTTCAATATAAAAAGGGCCCTAAAAAACCCTCCAGAAGGCAGTTTAATCCAAATCTGGGATAACTATGGATTAAGAATACATTGATGTTCGTTTGTGCTCCCCTCTTTTAATACTACTACCTCAGGCTAATATGCTTTGGACTATTTTCCCCAACCCTTATACTGACCAACTCTTATGTTATAGTTGCTTTTTTTACTTTGATACACAAATTTGTGAAGCAACCTTACATCGCTACCTCTAACAATCTGTATACTTAGTTTCTTTTATTTCATTCTGAAGTGTGATTTCTAAAGGTTATAGGTGTCAATGAAAAAGTGATGCTGAGGTACAAGAAAGGCTTGCACTTAGAGTACGTCAAACTTTGCTTAATTGCAGTTGCAATATGCTTAGAAACATATCTGTGAAATTGATGAATGATTTATCTGATCTAAAGTATCTGCATGTGCATTTGCAGCAGCTTTCTATGCAAATCAGGTACTTATGCACACAAATTATTCTAGTTAGCTACAGGAGTCTATGATGACCTAATCTGCATGTTCAGCTGTAGTACACCTCTAAATTAACATGAAAACCATGTGCATCTTTTGCATGCAAAAGTGCATGCCCAATTAGATTGAAAGGTGGATCTTTTATAATCCCTGCATTGCTTTACTATTCTTTTAATTGGAATGTACATGTCACTGGCATTCACTTTAACTCATAAGAATATTTTAAAGATATAAGGAATAATTTGCTGAAAATATTAAATAAAAGTTTTAAAAATAAGTATATTCATCCTTTGAATAACTGTAATTCTCATATACATTTTTAAAATTTGGGAACAGAAAACATCATCTTTTATGGCAATAAATACCTGCAAATAATATTCTTAAGTTAAAGTTAAAAACTTCATCAAGGTTTTTATATGCAATACTTGTTTTCACAGCATCACAAAAAAGGATACTTTTAATATCTCAGTGTATGGGGACAGAGGTTGAACGTGAGGCACAGCAGACACTGATTATATCCTCACTAAACCACAAAATAGCCAGCAGATAAATTGTGACTTAACAAGTGAGCCGGGCTTACAGCTGTCAGATAAAGCTGTACTTCAAAGGTGAACAATAAAGTTTATATAAGGTCCTTTGTCAGGGTACAGCCAGTAAAACCAAAACTGATAAGCTCATGAAATGCTACTTGTACCTGGACTTTCATCCTTTGGCTCTAGGAAAAGTAGTTGCTGGACTAACATGTGAGTTTAAAGAAGGAACCATGTGAAAATAATATCCATAGACATATAGACTATTGAATCAAGGTATAGAAAGACAACATCGTCACTGTTAGTAGCATAAACTATTCATAACCTATGCATGATGACCAGTTAAGTTGAGAAGCAAAATGGAATAAATATAGGCATGTGAACTTCTCGTAGTAAAAATGGAAGACTTGCTGAAAATTTCATCACTTCACTTTCTTTACAATAAATTTGAAAAGGGGTTCACTTCAGTAAAAAATTCTACTGTGAAGGGTGAAGACTTTGCACAAGGCCAAGGTTCTCAATACTGAAACACATTAGAGACCGGATTTGTTTATCTTCTCTTCTTTTTAATGCTATTAAGAAGGTCAAGTAGAGAGGGATACAGGTACAGATTGCACTCTTCCTTATGTTGATAATATATAGGAAGGGCCACAGGAGTACTGGAAGTAGGATTTCTAAAATCCGAATATACATTAAAAAGGAATCTGAATGCTTTTGTGCTATGCTCTGCATTGGGAACACAACATTTTCCCACACATAGGTATTTTCTCTCTGTTTTGGTTGCAAAAATAATAATTTTTTCAATATCTTTAAGTTAAACCCCAAGTGATGTTAAAATTCACAAATATACAATGGCAGAAACTTTTGCACGTACCTCCATCTACAACAACAATAAAGTAGACAATTTTGCTGTTTTAGAGGCAAGTCTTGCTTGAGCCACAGAGAAGTCACTATTTACTAGTGAACAAAAAGATGAGAAAATTCTCACTTCTTGTGATTTATTCCAGTGACAGGGTTAATGACACAGGTAGACATGCCCATTGACTCATTAAATTGAACGGCAAGACACAGCTAGAAGTTAATTTTCTTTGGTACGTGCTTAGGCACCTAGTTACGACAGTATTTGTGTCACCAGAATTTATTCCCGACCTAAAACTGAGTCGATCTTTCAGTTCAAATCTATGGAGGCATTTTAGTACAACTTTTTATCTTTCAAAGCTCTGTAGTAGTAACAGCTTGTATCTTTTGTAGGTCAGGCACCAAGATGGACTTGCAACATGTAAATTAGCTGATTACAGTGGTACAGTCGCTACGGTTGTTTTGCTACACAAATATGTAGACATGTAGAATATTAATAACAACTTTCATTCATAGGCAACATATGAATGATCAATGAATGAGGTTTTCAGTGTTTAGCAGAAACCTTTTAGCAAGGTTTGATGTAACATTGTGAAATATGTAATCTCCGGTGTAGTAGATATAGCTGTGTGTGCCACCCCATATGGTAAAAAATACACTGAAGAAGCCTGGCTCACTCCGAAGCGTGGCTGTGCAAGTTGTAAACATTTACTTTAGGAATATCCTGAAGAAAAATCTGAAGTTGGAATCAGAAGGAGCTAAGCAATTCGGGTCTGCACATCCCCGCTGAGGCGGAGGGTGTGTGGTTTCTATCATCAAGGTACACTGTGGCAATCAAGGAAACTATCAAGAAAAAAGGGCTCTGAGACTCCTCATAGTTCAGCCGTGCTGGGAGCTGGGATTGTTTTTCCATCCCGGTATCAAGCAATGACATTACAAGGAAGGCCAGCTGCAAAAGGAGAATAAAATACCTGTGTCATAAAAGTGTTGGGAAAATTCATTAATCTCTGTGAAATGGATTTAATTTCTTGGGTAGGTGCTAATTATCACTTGAGTACGCACCCCAAAATACTTCATATAATTTTGAGAATGTCAAAGCAGTTTTGCCTGCTTTGCAAACAAACTGAAATAAAGCAACGGTAATTTTGGCATACCATTTTAAAGTCTTATCCTGAATTTCAGTCCCTGTTTCTGCAGATATCCTGCCCACTGGTTGCTGTTAACATTATGGGCACTTCTAGAGAACTACTGACTGGCCGGCCTGATCCCGGCTCCTGGGAAGGTTACGGAGCAGACCCTCCGGGAAGTCACGTTCAGGCACAAGAAACAAGATGACTGGGAGCAGCCAGCACGGATTGACCAAGGCCAGACTGTGCTTAATGCGCCTAACCAGCCCGATATTCTGCAGTGTGATGACCGGCTCTATGGACAAGGGGAGAGCTGTGGACATTGTTTACTGCGACTTCAGCAAGGCTTTTGACATGCTCTCCCACTATCATTATAGCCAAACTGGTGAGATACGGACTAGACAGGTAGACGGTACGGATGGGGGAAAAACAGCTGAACCATCAGGCTCAAAGGCTTGCGATCAGCCGTTCAAAGTCCACGGGACTTCAGGATGTAAGCTACATGCACAACAATATAACTGAGAACATGTTTATGGGTATTTAACCTGAATGTGAAAAGGGCTCATATCCTTTACTTACAGTAGGAGTGGAAGGCTCTAAGCTACTTCCAGGCCTGTCCATTTCTAATCAGCACATTAAAAAACAAATGAGCCAATGACTGTATGCCTCTTAAGAGATAAGAAAATTTACTTAACATGTTTAAAAATTAAAAGTATGTCAATTGCCAGAGAACAATTTAAGAGGCTACAATTGACCAGTGGCTAATACCCCCTAGGATTTAGAATGTGAGGAGTAATAATCCTCAGTCGGACACGTTATTCTTCTATATACCTGAGTGGCACGAAGGATCATGCAGATTTGCAGTCTTGATCCACTGTGTTTCTCACCTTGACGTGTCTATGAAATACCACTGACATTGCCTCACATGGGAACTGGGAACGTTATCTCTGCCACGGATGGAAAGTGCTACTGCCAGTGGTCAGCACAGAAATTTAGAAATGCTGCATGGAAGAAAACCCGGTATGGCCAGATCCAATCCTCTTTTTTGGAAAGTATCTAACACTTCCTTGAAATGTTGGTACGGGATACTGGCACATGCTGCTCTGTTTTGATTGGTTTTTGTTAACAAAAAGATCAGATCCAGACTGCATTGTCTCCTCACTGGAAATTTGGCCTACTGACATGTCCGTTCATCTCATCATTAATTACATTAATCAGTGTATTGAAACTGAATTACTCTATACTTTTAGTCCATTTTGAATGTCACCAGTGTATTTGGGAATGTCTGTGATACCAACATCTCTGGGTGTAAACTATGAGAAATTTTCAAGGCTTAAATGGATCTAAAACTTGTAATCTAGTCAATTAAAAAAGTAAGTTAAATACAGGTTCATACTCAAAATTTGTTCTGGATGCATTTGCAGTTTTGCATTGTGTATTGTGTTTACAAAGCCCTCTCTTGCCTACTGCTATATAAAATAACAACATAAACAAAAGAAAGTGACTGACCGTAAGCCATAGCACAACAGTGAAGCTGACAGACAGCACTGTCAAGTAGCCTCAGTACATAAACGGAGATTCATTACATAAATTTTAGATATTAGTAATCTCAGTTGCTACTTGCAATAGAAACAGATAAAACTATACAGCTTTTGATTATGAAATTTTCAGTGTCCCTTGAAGTTTCTTCAAGTTTTTGCTATACAGATAATTTTACATGGGGAATTACTTGTTTCCTCAAATCAGCATTTCAGAAAACTTTATGGCCCACATTAAGCGTTGTATTATGCTGTTACGCCTGCCAACATTAGAGGTGACTTCGGTCACCGGTCTTTGATAGTGACACATGTAACTGTTTCCTGTAACAGCAGGGTTCTTTCTGTTTTGCATCTGGATTTACTGTGATTAAGCACTTACACTGGCTGGGTCCACTGCCAGCTCATCTCTGGCATTTACCAAACAGAATATTTTGCAAAGCACCTGGGTAAGGACTGCTGTCACCAATACTCAAACCACCGAAGACCGTAAGGATTGCAAAATCAAAAACCGAGGGGAGACTTTGGCTTCTGATGTACACTGTTACTGGACTATGTCTGTCAAATGGCAATTGAGGGAGGCGGCAGCCCATTTCTCCAGGACTCTGTACTCTCTTCTGTCAGTCATTTCTTGTGAGCATGTGGATTAAATTATCAGTGATCTATGCCTCAGTTTACCATTAGGAACACTGATACATTAAACCAAGGATATTTTGAGATTTAACTAAGCAGGGTTTGTAGAAGATTATGAAAACATTCTATTACAAGCATAAAGCGTGATTTTTTTCATACTGATACTGTGAATGTGCACTACCAAGATGCACAGGGACACGCCAAGTTCCTGGGTCTCCAGTCATACAGAGGTAACGGTCAGAAATGATGTGCGTGCTTCTTTCAAATCTGGTAACTCTAGGTCTGTGGGACAAGGTTACTCACTAAAAATAGTGCTGTCTCAGGAGCAGATTCCACACAAGCCAGAACACGCCATAGCAGTGTATCTGTGCAGCAAGACCACATGCAACAGTCCACAGAAAGGAGCAGTATAACTCCGCTTTAAGACTCTTCTTGGCAGTTGCACTGGTTTGGTTAGAACAAAGCCAGCATCGGTTCCTTCGTGGCTATCCAGAGCGGAAAGCTGTGCCGCACTGCATCACAGGGCCCCGTCTCACCGTTCCCTCCATCGCTTCGCACAGCACCGATGCAGATTATTGTGCGTTTCACGTCGTGCGAGCACGACTGATGTGGACAGCCTGGGAAGCGTTCTCCAAGCTACACCGTGCAGATAAATGGAAATAATACATATTTACTCTGTCTTTTCTTTCTCTTCCTAGCCCCTCCAGTAGTATTAGTCTCTTCACTGATATTTGCAGCTTTTTTTTTGCCGTTCACAGGCATCACTAACGCAGCTTTACCACCAACTAGAACGCTGACGAAGGAAAGAACAGCCCTGCCAGTGATGGGGGGTGCGCGTGTGACAGGGCAGCAGGTTGCCACAGCAGCCGGAACGCGAGGAGCACAGGCGCCTGGGAAGGGACACGTACAAGCAGCTACAACGCCCGGTGCCAGAGGTGGCCGGGGGAGGGGGGCCCAAGGG